GTTTGAAGTTTATTATTCATTACAGTCTGAAATAATAGAGCAGTTATCGTGTAAAGTTTTATCTCTGGAGAGGATTAACACCTTTTTTTTTTTAAAGCTAACATCCATATTTTTAGTTTTTTTTAACATGAGCACATCTTTATTTGTTCCTCGTTTCATAACATCTGTGATGCTGACTTTGGTTTTTTACACTCCGGTTAGCATTTTCTGCGCTAACAGCAACAGAAAAGAGCTGCAGCCTTTGTGAGTTCGTCCCAAAGGGAGGAGGAAGCCCAGATTTATTCACTTTCTACCAACAGCCTCACAACAACACACGCGCACACACACACACACACACACACACACACACACACACACACACACACACTGAGCTGCTGATTCTAATTACAGCAGCTTTTTTGTTTTTTTTCAGTTTTCTTCTTCTTCCTTTGTCTTCAGCGAGAAACATCTGGAACAGCTTCTGCCGTCTGAATGTGTGTGTGTGTGTGTGTGTGTGTGTGTGTGGGGCAGAGTTAATGAAGTGTTGTGTGTTTGTGTGTACGGTCCAGTGTGTGTGTGTGTCGTTGTGATGCGGTGCGGTGGGGTTTGTGTGTGCAGCTGAGTGCATGTTTACGCACATCTGCATGCAGCACTGGAGGTTCTGCAGCTGTGTGTCTGTCTTTGTGAGGACCGGCTGGAGTTCTGCTAAATATTGCACTTTTTTATTTTTTCCTCCACTGAAGCTTTGGTCATGAGCGACTGACACAACACATGATCGACAACAACACAGCAGCTGCAGCAACACAACTAATAACGCGTGCATGTTTGTAAAAAGGCCAAAATGCAAGTTGTGTTGAATGAGGTCTGAGGGAAGCAGCAGCAGCACAGCGTTGTGTTTCTGTGTCATCTGGGTGTGATCATGATGTGGCAACGCGACACACGCAACTACAGACACACACACACCAACGGCAACACACACACACACACACCACCACACAAGAACCGGTGTGTGTTGCTGTTCATTGGACACGCCCGGATCCTTCATGTGAGGCTGGACGTGGCAGATACATACAAACAGCCGTCATCACATGTGTGCAAACACGTCCAGTAAAGAAACGGCAAAATCCACAACGGTCGCTCCAATAACCAGAAACTGGAAAAAGTGATAATAAATAAAAATTTGCTAAATTATGATTTGGTGAAATAAGACGTTGGTTTAGAATTGTGGTTGAAAACAATAATTTAAAAAATTTAAAAAGGAAAAGACTGTCCTGGACATGTTGGAGCACTTTGCTGATGAGCATCATGTTTATTTGTTTGTTTGTTTTTAATATTTCTGTTGAGCCACAATTCAAAAGCAACGTCATGATGTTCAGACATTTTTTATTTATTACTACTTTTGTTAATTTCAACTTATTCCGGTGATTTTTGGGAGGCTATGAATCCATCTGAGGACGCCTGTACATAATAAAGATAATGTCATGCTAGCTTTATATATTATTATATTATTTATATGTTCATATTTGTGAAGTAGGATGACTCCACTAACAACACAGCAGAGCTCCACCTGGAGTCAGACCTTTTATATTTTATATCAAACCTCATCATACGTCCGTGAGACTGTAAACAGCAGCTGGATGCTAAAAACATCCACTTTATATAATGTGAAACAACCAGAATGAAAACACAGCATGTTTCTGGCTTTGGCTGTTTACTGTTTAGATGAAGTTAGAATTAGATTCTCACCACTTGTATCTGACACAGTGTTAAACTTCAATTCAAACAGTTTCATCGAACAAATAAAACAAAAATATTTGTGAAGCTACGATGAATTTGTCGATCACAGTTTCCTGACGTTGGTAACTGTGAAGCCACAGAACAACAAACAACTAAACTAAACGCTGTAAATAGTTTAAAATAACGTAAAATAACCATTTCTTAAAAACACTGTAATTTTCCAAAATTAAAATATTTTAGCTTTGATGTTCCGTGAGCTCATGTGTATTTTTCTGCCTTTTTAATACATATATGTATGTATTTATATAATATGTATTATTAATATATAAACAGAAAAACTTCCTTCTAAATTGTGGTGTCTAGTTTTAGGATTTTTTTTACAGTGTAAAGTTGAATTTAAACTAATAACAAACTACAATAAATCTGTCAACATGTCGTTTATGTTAAAATAATAATACTAAAAACTATGGTAATTCACAGTTTTTGTAAAGTTGTTTTACACTAGAGATTATTTTTAAAAATTTTCTTAGTTTGTGTTTATTTCATATAATATATATTTTTATTTGTTTGTTTGTTTATTTGATTTTTACAGTGGGTTTGTCTCAGTTTGTGTGAATTTTATATATGTTTTTATTTATTTATTTGTTTGTTTATTATATTTTTTATTACTGTGCGTTTGTCATAGTTTGTGTTTATTTAATATATCTTTTTTTATTTATTGATTTATTTGTTTATTTTATTTTTTTATCACAGCAGGTTTGTCTCAGTTTGTGTTTATTTGATATAATATATCTTTTATTTATTTATTTGTTTGTTTATTTTTTACAGTGGGGTTGTCTTAGTTTGTGTTTATTTCATATATCTTGTCCGTTTCAGGTCTCCCGGTTCTGGTCCAGTCTTTGAGCCACCTGAGCTACAACTTCTGCAAGTGGTGCGAGGACTCCAGTCCGGTGTGCGAAGACAGCGTCTGCCTCACCAACTGCTCGCTGTCGTCCTTCTGCAACTCCATCGAGGAGATCTGCGTCGCCGTCTGGTCAGAACCTCACCCAGAACCTCACCCAGAACCTTTACCCAGAACCTTCACCCAGAACCTTCACCCAGAACCTCACCCAGAACCTCACCCAGAACCTCCACCCTCCACGTCATGACGTTAGCTTGTGTAGTCAGTGATCCGAGCTGCAGACAGGACCGGTTCT